TATTAATTTATTGCCTAGAGATAAATACAATTTCTTGGTTAAACATGAGGTAAGTGATATTTGAGGAAATCGGTTCTTTAATAAAATCATTTTTTTTTTTGAAAATTAAATTTTTTACGAATGCTAATATACGATCACCGTGTAACGTTTAACATCATGTGGCTTAGCTTTACATTTTATTATATATAGAAATAGAGAATCTTTTTGGTTTTTAAAAAACAAAAATTTTGGCATTATGTCTTCCAGAAATAATAACAGTTCTATTACTTCTTCTAATACATTAACAACATTAAATAATATTTCTATAAAGCAAGATGAGAGTGAAACTATAGAAGAATTAAGCTCAGAAGACAAATCTAATTTAATAAAGTACAATTTTATTTATTTATTTATTTTTTACTGTATATAGATAGATGTATTTTTAATTTATTATGATATTGATATTATTTTATAGGGAAATTATTGAATTACAAGAAGGATTGAAAGGTAATTTTCCATAAGCTCCTTCTTTTTTTTTTTTAAAAAAAAAAGTAGATATCTTTATGAACTTTAAAATTAATCCTATAATCTTTTTTGTTTGTAATTTTTGTAATAAAATTAGCATTAGTTGAAAGAGTTGAATCAGTTAAAAATGATCATGATCAAAAGCAATCAGGAAATCAAATTTTACAAACTTATATAAATAATTTAATGTCTTCTAAAGTTTTAGCTTCTGCAAATGTTAATAAAAAAGATGGTTAAAAGAATAAAAAATAATGAGGATACGATAAAAATTTTTATTCATGATCTTCGAAAGATCATTCAAAATATTGGATTCGAATTGGTTCAAAAAGTACCTGATATTTTAATTTCGTATAATCCCGTTGATTGACGTTGATTAGTAAAAAATTTGTAATGGAAATTTTCATCATATGATTTGAACGCGTTGAATTTTTTTAAGAAATTTTTTTTTTTTAATCAAACGATAATCTAACATCTATTAAAAAAATAAATTCTTTATCAATAAAGTAAATATAAATATTAAAAAAAATTTTTTTTTACAAATGCAGATTATCATTTAAATAATAATGATAAAATAAAAAATTAATTTGTTTGCTAGATTACGACTTATCTTGTATGTTTTGTAATTTTAAATTTGTTTGTTTGTTTGTTTTTATTGTTTGGTCCGATATAAATTAAAAATAATTTCTTAAGTTGAAGGCGAGCCTTGATTCTTTCCTTTCACGTGATATAAGCGAATTAATAATAAACGGTAGCCAAAAAAAATTCCAATTATAATTTTATTTTTTTAATTTAATTAATTCATAGATTCACTTAACTTTAAGTTTCTACTTATTGCATTTTATGCGTAAACCTTAAATCTTAATTTTTTTTTTTTTTGTTAAAATTTAGAAATTAAAAAAAAAAATAATTTTCTTTAAACAGCGTATTTTAAAAAAAGAAATAAATAAAAAAAAAACTATTATTTTGAATCTTATCATAGACACGACAAGTTGAAATTAAAAAAAATATCGGTAAAAAAAAATTCGGAGAAAAATAAATCGATTTGGTTTTTTAGATCGATAAAAAATAAAAAAATTTTTTTTTTTTTTGGTTATACATCTACATAAATATATATATATATATATACACAATAGTGCGTGATAAAACAATGAAACGATTTTTTTAAAAGAAAAAAGGATAAAGTCGAAGAAATTCAGAAGTGTTTGCTTAATTTTTTTTTTTTTTTTTTCATAAAACGGAATAACCTTGAGAAACGTCTACTAAAATAAATGACGAAAAAGAAAGAATATAAATTAAT